TTACTTCATATTAAGTCTCACAATCAGGAAGTCGTGTGCTTCCAACTCAGTTCTGTTTTGACCATACTAGGTCTTTTGCATTTACATGTGAATTTTGGAATAGTTTTGTCAATTTCTACAAGCAAACCTGCTGGAATTTTTATCTGGAGAGACTTCACACCTTAGTGATATTGATTTCTCCAACCCATGAACATGGTATATCTCTCCATTGATTTAGTTCTTTCATTTCTCTAAGCAATGGTTTGTGGTTTTCCATATTCAAGTCTTTTACACCTTTTGTTAGATTTATCCATAAGTAATGCTTTTTAATGTTATTTCAAATGACTTTTTAAAAAATTTTAATTTCTAATTGTTCATTGTGAATGTATAGAAATAGAACTAACTTTTGTGTAGTGGTGTTTCGTGTACTGCAACCAACCTACCCACATATGGCTGACTGATGTTCAAAAGGCATAAGAGCAAGTCAGTGAAGATAATCTTTTCAATAAAGGATGCTGGAATAATTGGATATGCATAAATAGAAACGAATAAAACCCCAAAACAACCTTCAATTCGTGCCTCACATTATAAACAAAATTAATTCAAAATGGAACACAGCCATAAATGTAAACCCTAAAGCTATAAAACTTCTACAGGAATGCATAGAAGTAAACCTTTGTAACCTTAGGCTAGGCAAATATTTCTTAGATATGACACCAAAAGCCCAAAACACAACATAACAAATTAATAAATTAGACTTCATAAAAATTAAAAACTTCTGCTTTTCAAAAGACACTGCTAAGAGAAAGGATAAGCCACAGAATCTGAGAAAATATTTGCAAATCATATACCAGATTAGGGCCTTGTATCCAGAGTATATAAAGAACTCCCAAAATTCAATAATGATACAACTCAATTTTTTATTCTTAAGACAGACTCAAAAAAAAGAGTCTCGTTCTGTCGCCCAGGCAGGAGTGCAGTGGCGCAATCTCAGCTCACTGCAACCTCTGCCTCCAGGGTTCAAGTGATTCTCCTGCCTCACCCTCCTGAGTAGCTGACATTACAGGCATGGGCTACCACAGCTGGCTAATTTTTGTATTTTTAGTAGAGAAGGGATTTTACCATGTTGACCTGGCTGGTCTCCAACTCCTGGCCTCAGGTGATCTGCCCGCGGTGGCCTCCCAGAGTGCTGTGATTACAGGTGTGAGCCACCACACCCAGCTGATACAACTCAATTTTTAAAAGAGCAAAAAAGATATAAACAGACACTACCAGAGAAGATATATACATGGCAAATAAGCACATGACAAGATGCTCAACATCACTAGCTGTCAGAAAAATGCAAATTAAAACTATAAGGAGAAACCCCCTACATACCTATTAGAATGGGTGAAATTAAAAAGACTCATCATACCAAGGGCTGACAAAGGTGTGAAGGAACTAGAACTTCCCTACACTGCTGTGGGAATGTAAAATAGTACAACTTTGGGAAATGGTTTAGCAGTTTCTTTAAAAATTAAACTTCTGAGGCCAGGTGTGGTGGCTCACACCTGTAATCCCAGCACATTGGAAGGCCAAGGCAGGCAGATCACCTGAGGTCAGGAGTTCAAGACTAGCCTGGCCAACATGGTGAAACCCCATCTCCACTAAAAATACAAAAATTAGCCAGGTGTGGTGGTGCATGCCTGTAGTCCCAGCTACTCAGGAGACTGAGGCAGGAGAATCACTTGAACCCGAGAGGCAGAGGTTGCAATGAGCAGAGATGGAGCCACTGCACTCCAGTCTGGGTGACGGAGTGAGACTCTGTCTCAAAATAAATAAATTTAAAAAATAAATAAATAAAAATTAAAAATTAAACACCTGAGCGGTCAAGGCTGCAGTGAGCTATAATCATGCTACTGCACTCCAACTTGGGCAACAATGGTGTGAGGCTGTTTCAAAAAAAAGAAAAAAAATTAAACATACACCTGCCATATAGCACAGCCGCTCTACTCCCAACCATTCTCTACCCATGAGAAATGAAAGCATGTGTCCATCAGAAACCTGTATGTCAGTGTTCAGAGCAGCTTTCTATGTAATAGTCGCAAACTGGAAACAAACCAAATGTCCCTTAACAAGTGAATGGTAAACAAATGGTGGGCTAGCCGTGGGTAGAATACTACTCAGTGGTAGAAACCAGTGAACTTTTTTTTTTTTTTTTTTTTTTTAGAAACGGAGTCTCCCTCTGTCACCCAGGCTGGAGTACAGTGGTGCGATCTTGGCTCACGGGTTCACGCCATTCTCCTGCCTCAGGCTCCCCAGCAGCTGGGACTACAGGAGCCCGCCAACATGCCTGGCTAATTTTTTTGTACTTTTAGTAGAGACAGGGTTTCACCATGTTAGCCAGGATGGTCTCGATCTCCTGACCTCGTGATCTGTCCGCCTCGGCCTCCCAAAGTGCTGGGATTACAGAGGCGAGCCACCGCGCCCGGCCCCAATGAACTATTTATACAAATTACAACATGGATAAATTCTCAGAATAATTACTGTCTGTGAATGAAGCCAAACAAGAAAGAGTTCCTACTGTATAATTCTGTTCATAAAAAATTCTAGAAAGTGCATCAAACTGATAGTGACCAAAAAAACAGATAAGTGGTTGCCTGGGAGATGGGCGAGGTGGGAGGTGAGGATTGTGCAGGGCATGAGGAAGTCTTTGGGAGTGATAGTTGTATTCACTCTGGGTGGTGGCAATGGTTTCATGAGTATGTATGCATTTACCTCCAAACTTATCAGAGTGTGCAACTTCAACATATGCAGTTTATTGTCTGTCAATTATACCTCAATAAGGCTGTTAAAGGAAGAAAAAAAAAACCCCCATCGACTGGGCGCGGTGGCTCACGCCTGTAATCCCAGCACTTTGGAAGGCCGAGGCGGGCGGATCACAAGGGCAGGAGTTTAAGATCAGCCTGACCAACATGGTGAAACCCCGTCTCTATTAAAAATACAAAAGTTACCGGGTGCTGCGGCGGGCGCCTGTAATCCCAGCTACTCAGGAGGCTGAGGCAGGAGAATCGCTTGAACCCGGGAGGCGGAGGTTGTAGTAGTGAGCCGAGATCGCGCTACTGCACACCAGCCGGGGCGACAGAGTGAGACTCCATCTCAAAAAAGAAAACAAGAAAGAAAGAAAAAGAAAAAAACAACAACAACATCGAGAGCTTTGGGAAGGGAAGGCAGCAACACCTTTCTGAGGTCAAAAAGCAAGGCTGTGCAGCTGATGAGGTTAGAGATCTCACAGTGGTGCTCCCTATCCCCTCAGTCTTTAAGGAAGACACCTCCTCTCTGCTGGGCTCTGACTGAGGCTGCATTTCACTTTCACATTGTGCAATCCAGCTGCCCCAGCTGCCAGCTCTCGGGGTCCTGTGACACTGCTAACCAGCTGGGAGGAAGCAACCAGGTCACCAACATAACTCTGCTTCTCAGATGTGAGGGAAAATCCAAGCATCAGAGTCTCACGAAAACGAAACTTCACGAAAATTCGCAGAGCTGGGGTGGGGGTGGGGTGGGGAGTGGGGGCGTTCAGGCCACACCAGCCAGCAGCAACTGTGCGTGGAATGGCTTAGGCCAGGGCCTGGGCAGACTGGCCCGACGGGATGTAAATTATTGGGGTCTCGCTGAAAAACACACACAGATCATGGAATTACTAACTCCGATAGAGAGTCCATGGATGGCCTTCAGTGGGTCTTTGATCCCGAAATCATATCCACATTTTGTAAGTATGTGCATTCACGCATTTTTCCGGGGAGGGAGTTCGTAGCTTTCATCAGACCCTCCAAGAGCTCCCTGGCTATAAAAAGATAAAGAAGCGCTGGCAAGGATAGAGCTAGACCCAGCTACTGTTTCTCCTCCTTCCTCTGGCTCCCGGGACAAAACCCCTAGGAATCGCTCATTCCATCCTCCCTGCCGAGATCAGAGCTCCGCGACCCGCTTTCTTCTCGAATACAAGCGATCACTAGATTTCTTCCCCCTTTTCATGCGAGTGTAGACTCCAGGCTGGCCCCCACCCCCCACCCCCACCCGATCCCGACGGCCTCTGCTGGTTTCCTGAGCGCTTAAGAATTGGAAGTTGTTTCCAGGTCCCCAAGTATGCAACTTGCCCGACGCTTTCCCCCCCGGGACACAGCTCCTCCCCACCCTCCCAGCTCCCACTGACAAAGTTTACTTTTGCCTGGGAGTCGGGAGGGTAGTTTCTCCCGGACCCCTCCGAGGACCGCGTGCGGTGCAACAGCCGCACTGCTGTCCCAGCGCCTGGGAGAAGCGCACTCGCCCGTGTCTCCCAACTGCTGGACGCCGCCGGCTCCGCGCTCCGGTGGCCAAAACCGGCTTCGCAGAACTGCTCCTGACCTCGGCCTCGGAGACCCCAGCCTGATCGCCCGCTCCCTTACGTGGGTGACCCGGGCGCAGCGGCGGCGCTCTCCTTGCGACCCCGGCTCCCGGCACGTGTCCCTCCTGTCGGGCGCCGCGCCCCCTCCCCGGCCCGGGCCTGCGCGCACCGCGCTCCCGAGGGCACCGACGCCCCGCACGGCCGGGGGAGATGGGGAGCCCGGTTCCCTACAGCTCCACGTCCCTGCCCCCTCCCGGGTCCCGCCCGGGCGCCCCTGCTCCCAGCTCCCTACCCCGCGTCGCTGGCGGTCGGAGCAGCAGCAGCAGCAGCAGCGCCGGGAGGCCGAGGGTCCGGGAGCCGCGCGCCCGCCGCGGGGCCATGGCCGCAACTCCACAGGGTTCTGCTGGACTCCCCGGGCGAACGCTGCCCAGGCCCGGGGGAGGTGGCGAGCGCGGCTCTGGGACCTGCGGCCCCGCCAGGCGCAGTCGCTTTCGCTTTTGCTTTGGCCCCCGAGGGTTCGGAGAGGTGCAGAGCGGTGACAGATCCGTGACTCAGCGTCCCCACCCCTGCTGGCGAAGGAGCCCTGCGGACCGCGGCCCCGCATAGCCACCCCTGTCCCCGGGACGCACGGGCCGTGCTCAGTGGGGACCAAGGACTTTACCCACGCAAGCCCGGGAACCTCCCAGTCCTCCGCGCTCCTCGTGCTCCGGGACCTCCAGCGTGCACTCGGTCTGGTGTCCCCACTGCGGAGACAGCGAGCAAAGCCATCAGACAGCAGACTCTCTCCAGACCCCTCTGCGGCTCGGATCCACTCGACCTTGCCCCGCGCGGGTCGCCTCCAGTTGCTCTGCCTTCGACTTTCCTGGTCTCCCTCCGGGGCCCTGCGCTCGGTTCTGAGCTGCCGGCCTGTGTGAGTGCCGGCGGTGGTGTCGCCGCGGTGCGGAGCCGCTGGCACCTGCCTGGTGCACTCAGGCCCGGGCGGAGCGCAGGCCCCGCCACCTGCTGGCTCCCGCGGCGCCCGGCGCCCGCTGGGGTCCCAGCTCTGCCACTTCGCCGAATTCCTGCTGCAGCTTTGCTCCCCCAGAAAATGCCTCATATTAGGAGAGGGGGCCGAGTGGGGTGACGGGGGAGAGGAGCCACAGTGCTTCAACTCTGCGCCTCTTTTCCTTAGATTCTTCCACGCTACCATCCCCCTCTTTGGCAGGTGGGGTTTTTCTTTCTTGGGGTCTCAAGTGAAGCCTGAGAACCGGGTCTGTAAGCTCCCAAGTGCAGATTCTCAGTTCTAGGGGTCACATTGGACAGGATGAGACATCTCCTAGCCTCGGTCATTGTCTCTTAAAATCTCACGACGTGTTTATGAGGCTTTTGTGACATACTTGCAAATTCTCTTTGAAAACGAAATAATCTGTACAACAATCCCCCAAGACACAGGTTTACCTATATAACAAACCTGCACATATAACCCTAAACTTAAAATAAATAAAAGTGAGGCGGGTGGATCACGAGGTCAGGAGATCGAGACTATCCTGGCTAACATGGTGAAACTCCGTCTCTACTAAAACATACCAAAAAAAACTAGCCGGGCGTGGTGGCGGGCGCCTGTGGTTCCAGCTACTTGGGAGGCTGAGGCGGGAGAATGGCGTGAACACGGAGGCGGAGCTTGCAGTGAGCCGAAATCACGCCACTGCACTCCAGCCTGGGAGATACAGCGAGACTCCATCTCAAAAAAAAAAAAAAAAAAAAGAATTTAGGACGAGGCGCAGTGACCACTCCCGTAATACAATCACTTTCGGAGGTCAAGACAGGTGGATCGCCTGAGGTCAGGAGTTCGAGACTAGCCTGGCCAACATGGTGAAACCCTATCTCTACTAAAATTACAAAAATCAGTTGGGCGTGGTGGCAGGTGCCTGTAATCCCAGCTACTCCGGAGGCTGAGGCAGGAGAATTGCTTGAACCCGGGAGGCTGAGATTGTAGTGAGCTGAGATCGCCCCACTGCATTCCAGCCTGGGCAACAGAATGAGACTCCGTCTCAAACATAAAATAAAATAAAACAAACAAAAGAATTTAATGGCGTAAAAACGTAGGTTGTTATGCATCCCCCTCCCCCCACCCCACACACACAGTGGGAAAAGAGTAGATGAAAGCTTTTCCTACAGTCATGTTGAGCCTCATGACCTTTCTGTTAATGCCAGCTGGTATGTGCCTCGGTGGTCCCATAAGATTATGATTCCGTGTTTTTACTGTAACTTTTCTATGTTTAGAGACACAGATCCTCACCACTGTGTTACAGTTGCCTGCAGTATTCAGCAAGGCTTGGTGCTGCACAGCTTTGCAGTCTCAGAGCAACAGGCTAGGCCGTGTGACCTCAGTGCGTAGCAGGCTATGCCATGCAAATTGTGTGAGTCCTCTGTGATGTTGGCAAAATGAGGAAATCATCTGACAAGCTTCTCAGAAACTATCTCTATTAGTAAGTGAGGCATGACTGTACTTGCTCCTCTTTCCCTAAAAAGCTTAAAATTGGCATAAATGTAAAACATACTGAACAAAGGAATGCAGAGGATTGGTAATCCCACTTGGATCCAACCTGTAAATATAATCAATGTCAACATTTTGTGTGTTTCAGGTTTATGAAAACTTCTTTTGTTATGGACATTTTCAAATATCAAAAGTAGGGCCCAGATGCGGTGGCTCACGCTTGTAACCCCAGCACTTTGGAAGACAGAGGCAGGAGGATCGCTTGAGGCCAAGAGTTGGAGGCCAGCTCGGGCAGCACAGTGAGACCCCTATCTCTACAAAAACTTTAAACAAAATTAGCCTGATGTGGTGGCACTTGCCTGTAGTCCAGCTGCTTGGGAGGCTGAGTCAGGAGGACTGTTTAAGCCCCGGAGTGAGGTTTGAGGCTGCAGTGATCTATGATGGTGCCACTGCATTCCAGCCTGGGCAACAGAGCCGGATCCTGTCTCTTAAATAATAGTTAAAAAAAAAAAAGTAGAAAGAATAATGAACCTACCATCTGGCAGTGACCACACAAGGTCCTTTCTTTTTTCTAAGCAGGAATAGCTACCCTTATTCCAACTGGGGAAATCCCACATTATTCAATTTCCCTCAATACTTAAGAATATATCTCGGCCGGGCGCGGTGGCTCAAGCCTGTAATCCCAGCACTTTGGGAGGCCGAGATGGGTGGATCACGAGGTCAGGAGATCGAGACCATCCTGTAACCCCGCCTCTACTAAAAATGCAAAAAACGAGCCAGGCGAGGTGGCGGGTGCCTGTAGTCCCAGCTACTCGGGAGGCTGAGGCAGGAGAATGGCGTGAACCCGGGAGGCGGAGCTTGCAGTGAGCTGAGATCCGGCCACTGCACTCCAGCCTGGGCGACAGAGCGAGACTCCGTCTCAAAAAAAAAAAAAAAGAAAAAGAAAAAGAATATATCTCAAGATGATGAGATCAAATTTTAAAATTAACAATATTCCTTAATATTGTCAAATATATTCAGGCCTTATTGAATGCAGTGTGAGCATACCATGTATAAAATAGAGCATTTTTTATTCTATGAACATTTATGAAGTAGAGATTTCTCCATTCTTACAGATTCTTTGTAAAAGTTTTTAATAGTTGCAGATTATCATAGTTTAACATCCCCTCTATTATTTTAATATTAAAAATAAGATTGTCATAAATATCTTTCTACAAAGTCTTGTGAATTTAAGATTGTTTAGAATAGATTTCCTACAGTGGAACTATTGAGTCAACTGGTAGGGAATATTTTTAAAGGCTTTTTTTCCTTTTAAACAAATATTTCTATCTTGCTTTGCAAAAGTCTTGTATCAATATACCTTCTAACTAGCATTGTGTTAAAGTATCCATTTTACTGCATTCTGGCCAAAAGTACATTTTAAAATTTGAAAATAAAATTTTAAATTTGGTTTGCTTAAAAGAACTTTATTTCATTACATATATATGTGTTGTTAAATAATGTAAATTTCAAACATACTTTGAAGTATAGCAATCAATAAATATAGTGGATATCCATGAGCCTACGGCCTCATCCTGTCAAATCTTAATATGTCTGCCCAATGTTTGCTTCAGGTATTTTTTGGAATAAAAAAATTACAGATAAAGTTGAAGCCCCTTTGTATTCCTGCATCTTTCTCTTCCTCTGTCTTCTACTTTCTCGCAGGTAATGTTTCTTGAAATTGGTACTCATTATTCCCAGGCATTCTTAGGCCCCTTTTCCATGTGTATGTCCATGTGCAATGGACAGGAAGGTTTATATGTTAAAAAATTCATATGAATAAGGCTGGGTGCAGTGGCTCACGTCTGTAATCCCAGCACTTTGGGAGGCTGAGGCAGGAGGATCACTTGAGGTCAGGAGTTCGAGACCAGCCTGGCCAACATG